GTAGAGGACAATCTTTTTTATTATTGATTTATTGATTGAGGCATTTTTATATAGCGCTTATCATAAAGCTCTAAGCGCTTTACAATTATTAAAACATGTAAACTAAGTAAATACAAATGAGACACTAGGATAGTAACTACTATTTTATAGAAACAATGAAAATGACTATAAAACGAGGACACTTTGACACTTCAGGATCAACCCGAAACAGAAAATGAGGTAGGGCAAGGAGGGTGCATCACAGGTCATAGGCGGACCTAAACAGATGAGTTTTAAGGGACTTTTTGAAAATGGACGAGGTTTCACTATGACGTAAATGGAAAGGGAGCTGGTTCCAAAGTTTTATTACATAACTTATGATTGACAGATTTTTTTGCTTAACCCACTCATCATCCATCCTTTTCTCAGCACTGACACAATTTATGGGTGACCCCATTTGTTTAAAACTTTCAATAAATTAGCGGTAAAATGAACTTAAAAAACAAACATATTGATATAATTGTGTTTATTGAACTTTTTTTTCAGGGCCAAATTGATATCCCAAAAGAGAAAGAAAGGCTGGAAGCTAAAAAAGAGACTTTGTCCAAAAGCCTGGTCAAGTTGGAAGAAGCGGCCAAGGTCCCGGACTACAGCAGCAAAGTGCCTGAAGAAGTCAGACTAAAGAATGAAGAGAAGGTAAGTCATACACGCAATTGTGACAAGAGTTCTTGTCCTCGTTGGCAACTTATAAAGCCCGATTATTTTCATTGTTAACACCTCTATTAAGACATTAGCGGGTCTTCCGATACACTCGAAAAAGTTTTTTTCAACAACTTTTGAATCATTTTGAGAAAAATTTCAACCAATGAAAGTTGGATCCCTCTATGGTATGGCGACGCATCGTGCTATTGGTAACCTAAACATCTTATTCGACACATCGTGCTATTGGTAACCTAAACATCCTATTGACAGCCCACTGTCTTGTTGGCAGCTCACTTTACTATAACAAAGCCCATCATCCAAGCGCCAGCCCTCTGTCCTATGTTTAACCCAAGAGCTGTCGTAACAGCAGAAATTTATGTATGAGAAACAAAAATGTACATTTTACTGCTAATTTATTGTAAAAAAAAAGGTAAAAAATGTATGGGGTTATCTTTTTTAATTATTTTTCATGGAGCTGAAATTTTCAGAGGTCATAAAAAACAAAAAATCTTGTATGACTCAGATCTTGGGCCTTGGAAACAAACATCTAATTTATTGGAATTATTTCTTTATGAAAGTGATTTGTGAAGATACTTGTGTTGTCATTACTCGTGGGGGGTGATCATATTGATAGAGAAGCTGACATTTTGAATTCTAGTAGTCAAGAATAGGATTATTCTAACACAGGCTCCAGAGAAATTTGGAATGAAATGATAGGCATTATAATAAAGAGATCTTCAGGTCACCAATTCAGGTCACCAATTCAGGTCACCAATTCATTTTTTTTACAAATTTCTATGTAGCCGAATAAGTGTATATTTTTTAAACTGAATGTATATTATTTTCTGTGTCTGAACAACAAATTTAGAGGCTATAAGGGACCCAGTGTGGGCGTGAGTTGAAGGCTGAACAACAGCGTTTATTATACTCAATGTTTAAAGGCCAAAGTCAACATAACATAACTCACAGAATTTCCAGATCAATATCATATGATACAGTCCAAGTTACTCTCAGAATGTGTATACTTACATGGCCTCTGGATACATTAAAAAAAATTATTTTAAACCTTTTTAAAAAAAATTGTATCTAAAAAGTAAAACTTGACACCGCAGCACCAAGTGCACTGCATGGAGAAAAGTGACTTTGTTCACCAACACATTGCTTGTTCCAAGTCCATGGAGAAAAGTGACTTTGTTCACCAACACATTGCTTGTTCCAAGTCCATGGGTTAATGTTACTTTGTTCACCAGCACATTGCTTGTTCCAAGTCCATGGGTTAATGTTACTTTGTTCACCAGCACATTCACATTGCTTGTTCCAAGTCCATGGGTTAATGTTACTTTGTTCATCAACACATTGCTTGTTCCAAGTCCATGGGTTAATGTTACTTTGTTCACCAGCACATTGCTTGTTCCAAGTCCATGGGTTAATGTTACTTTGTTCACCAGCACATTGCTTGTTCCAAGTCCATGGGTTAATGTTACTTTGTTCATCAGCACATTGCTAGTTCCAAGTCCATGGGTTAATGTTACTTTGTTCACCAGCACATTGCTTGTTCCAAGTTAAAGTTTATTTCCTTATGTTCCAGATGATTGAGTTGAAGTCCCAGCTGGACACAATCACCAACTCTATAGCCACACTACTCAAGTTACAATAGGCTGACATAATTGTATCTTACCACTACCACTGCAATGGCTGACAGAAGTGCTCATTGTCAGCTGGATTTATTACAGAAATCTGGTTGACAGAAAGTTTTTGTAGTCACTGGATTGATTCATTGTTATCAGAATATGTATGAGTAGGCAGTAAGCCAGTCCTTTAATGAGAAACATTAATGTTCTAAATATAAATTATTGATAGAATGTATGCAAGTGTCCTGCCTGTATCAACTCTAAGTTTGCTAGACATTTCAACTGAAATAATTATTAACCTTTGATTACCATTGTAATGAGTACATATTTTGCTTTGTTAAATTAACAATTGATAACATGTACACAGAACTGACTCATCACTTACGTCGGCAAAACATTACTTGTTCATTAAGTGTGAGACTATGACCTGTCCATTGTGCATGAGAAAATGACGACCTGTCAGTTGTGTATGAGACAAATGATGATCTGTCAATGAAGTATGAGAAATGATCTATCAGTTATGAGTGAAGTATGATCTAAAATATAATGCTTGCTGTACTCTGTTCCATTTGTCACAATTTTTCTTTTAAAATTTAATAAATTCGTCTGTCTTTTAACTGATTCGTGTGTGTTGTGTATCAAACAAAATGGATGACACACAGCATTTGAGGTGACCTGTGCCATATAGAAATAATTCTCTATTTAGATCAGAATGTGTCTACGGTACATAGTTATAACAGAACTGTCACCCATTTGATGAGGGCTTCTCAACCATTTCTATATTCCGCACCCTCTACGAATTGTTAGACTAAGTCTCATATCTTTATACAAATTGTTTCACGAAATCACGCAACCCTTAAGAATGTCTTGTCTTGCACCCCTAAAAATTGTTTGACCTAATTTTACACCCCCCACAAAAGTAACGATATCTTTAAAAATGTTTGGAAAAAAAGACAATTTAAAAAAACAACCTGAAACCCAAGAAAAGTGTCGAACTGTCAAAAAAGCTTGTGACCTAATACATAAAGTATGATCACTGTAGAACTTGTTAAATATACTTGTGACCTAATACATAAAGTATGATCACTGTAGAACTTGTTAAATATAGAACACTGGATTATGTATTTCATACTACACTGTAGAACTTGTTAAATATACTTGTGACCTAATACATAAAGTATGATCACTGTAGAACTTGTTAAATATACTTGTGACCTAATACATAAAGTATGATTACTGTAGAACTTGTTAAATATACTTGTGACCTAATACATAAAGTATGATCACTGTAGAACTTGTTAAATATACTTGTGACCTAATACATAAAGTATGATCACTGTAGAACTTGTCCAATATACTTGTGACCTAATACATAAAGTATGATTACTATAGAACTTGTTAAATATACTTGTGACCTAATACATAAGGTATGATCACTGTAGAACTTGTTAAATATACTTGTGACCTAATACATAAAGTATGATTACTGTAGAACTTGTTAAATATACTTGTGACCTAATACATAAAGTATGATTACTGTAGAACTTGTTAAATATACTTGTGACCTAATACATAAAGTATGATCACTGTAGAACTTGTCCAATATACTTGTGACCTAATACATAAAGTATGATTACTGTAGAACTTGTTAAATAAACTTTTGACCTAATACATAAAGTATGATTACTATAGAACTTGTTAAATATACTTGTGACCTAATACATAAAGTATGATTACTGTAGAACTTGTTAAATAAACTTGTGACCTAATACATAAAGTATGATTACTGTAGAACTTGTCAAAGTAAACGTGTGACCATTGAAGTATGATTACTGTAGAACTTGTCAAATAAACGTGTGACCATTGAGTATGATTACTGTAGAACTTGTAAAATGAACGTGTGACCATTGAGTATGATTACTGTAGAACTTGTCAAATAAACGTGTGACCATTGAGTATGATTACTGTAGAACTTGTAAAATGAACGTGTGACCATTGACCTATAAGACAGTGCCTTTCAAAGGTATTAGTATTAGTTCTTATCATCCCTTTTCCTGAAACACCCACCCCCCCGGGTCAAAGATCATGATTTGTTTAGTGTCTATATATAGATCAGTTCCCATCACTGAAATTAGCTTGACATTGCCTGATCTCTGTGCCTGTGTTATCATCCAATCTTTAATACATTGACAACCCAGACAGCAGTGTAGTGAGATCATAGATTCACCTGGTCTGGCACTCCCCAAATCTATCAATTAGAATCTGTGGATCATTGCACCCCCCACCCACCCAAAACAACAAATCTAGCACACCAAAGTTGATAACAACAGAACCCCAAGCAACAATGAAATGAATAAAAACCTGTCTCATGGCCCTCACCCGAAAATCCGGTAACAAATACCCTTCCCCCATACCCAGCAGTTATCATAAAGGTATCTTTTGGCCCCTTCCCCCATACCCAGCAGTTATCATAAAGGTATCATTTGGCCCCTTCCCCCATACCCAGCAATTATCATAAAGGTATCATTAGGCCCCTTTCCCCATACCCAAAAATGATCATAAAGGTATCATTAGGCCCCTTCCCCCATATCCAGCAATTATAAAGGTATCAGTATGCCCCGAATTCAGTTCTAGTGACTAAAATATGTGTAGCCATTTAATTGGTTTTATTGACACATGCGTTGCTTCCTGTTTGCAGTTGTAGTGACTGCTAGACCCACTGGTGTTAAACTAATATTAATATGCTCTAATCCCCACCCAACGGGGTCCATATCTCTTTGAGACCTTATCTGCCGGGCTTGTTGTGCTCAAAGCAAGCTAGGGCTGAGAGATATTCACAGCACGCATGTGTGTCAACTACTTAAACTGGTCACTGACTAAACCAGACTGTTTGGTGAAGGATTAACAACAGCGTGAAGGTCTGTGCTTACATTGCTGTAGTGCAAGATTTAAAATATGTGAAGGTGAGTGATTACCTTTGTTTTTAGAAACCAGTCTGCCTGTCTTTTATTTATAGCTTTGAATTGTGAAGAGTTCATGTTGTTCCAAGCACCAGTCCCACAGTTTCACCAGTCCCACAGTTTCACCAGTTGCACAGTTTCACCATTCCCACGGTTTCACCAGTCCCCTAGTTTCACCAGTCCCCTAGTTTCACCAGTCACACAGTTTCACCAGTCACACAGTTTCACCAGTCACACAGTTTCACCAGTCCCATAATTCCCACAGTTTCACCAGTCACACAGTTTCACCAGACCCATAATTCCCACAGTTTCACCAGTCACACCGTTTCACCAGACCCCTAATTCCCACAGTTTCACCAGTCACACAGTTTCCCCAGACCCATAAGTCCCACAGTTTCACCAGTCACACAGTTTCACCAGTCTCATCATTCCCACAGTTTCACCAGTCACACAGTTTCACCAGTCACACAGTTTCACCAGTCACACAGTTTCACCAGTCACACAGTTTCACCAGTCACACATTTTCACCAGTCCCACAGTTTCACCAGTCGCACAGTTTCACCAGTCACACAGTTTCACCAGACCCATAAGTCCCACAGTTTCACCAGTTCCACAGTTTCACTAGACCCACCTGTCCCATAGTTTCACTAGACCCAACTGTCCCACAGTTTCACTAGACCCACCTGTCCCACAGTTTCACTAGACCCACCTGTCCCACATTTTCACAAGACCCACCAGTCACACAGTTTCACCAGTCACACAGTTTCACCAGTCACACAGTTTCACTAGACCCACCTGTCCCACAGTTTCACAAGAACCACCAGTCACACAGTTTCACCAGTCCCACAGTTCCTACAGTCACAGTTTTATCAGACCCACAAGAAACAGGTTGCAGTGTTCGATTACCTTCCACCATTGTTCTCTCACTATAGGATCCTGTCATTAATGCCACTATTCCGTGACTGGGAACTTGTCTAGTTTTATTGCCTCCTCCCCCCCCCAACCCCCAAACCACTTTTTCCCGTACTTGCTGGCCTTAGTTAAACCAGGCCGCCACATAATTATTTTAATACTGTGCACTCTCATTGGGTATAATTTTTTAGCTCAAACTTTAAAAGGTGCAAGATACATTTTGAGTTTGCCAGACAGCTATATGAACCATTGAGGTATGTGGAGCACATGATAATATAAGGACCACTTTGGTCTATGGGGTACATAAAGGAACCACAATTCTAAAGAAATGTACTTTTTTTTTTTTTTAAACACTGCGACATCAGATTATTTTCTTGCAGTAGAATTTAAAAAAAAAAAAAAAAGGTACATAAAGGAACCACAATTCTAAAGAAATTTTCTTTTTTTTTTTTTAAACACTGCGACATCAGATTATTTTCTTGCAGTAGAATTTAAAAAAAAAAAAAAAATTGAATTCGATAGTCAAAAAACTTAATATAAGATCATATGGCATGAGGCATCGAATGTCTTTTGCATTTACTCCATAATTTAACAAAAAATAATTTTTTTGATGAATTAATGTGACAGTAACAGACTTAGTTTCTCCGTAAAAATGTGTACATTTAAAACATTTATCCGAATTTTTTTATTTTTTTTTTTAAACTTAAGTTAGCATGAAGCAATCATGGCCAACAGGTGAGTTCTGAATGGACGTAGTTAGGTCCTCATTGACAGCAATGCCTACTCAATGGCTGCCATTCACTGTCAATTTGTCAATGCCGTACTTGAAAAGAGGCCTCACACCACGAGTTCTCCCCCATGTCATGACTTTTATTTATCGCTCCATTCAATGGCTGCCGATCGAACTCTCGATAAGTCGATACATATTGATCTGTAGCGAAAAAGAAACGAATTCGCCTTTAGCGGGGCAGCGTGTAGATGGTATTTCGATGAGCGGAAATGTTGAGTGGTTAGTACCAGTACTGTAACGTTCAGTAGTGTGCAGTGCGAACATGTGCGGTCTCTCGTAAGCCGGTGTGCACATTTTCAATGTTCAACCCGGTCATTCTACTAACAATGACAAAGGTTCTCATGTTGTTTGAAATAATCTTCGTTGAACGCATTTCGTTTTATTTCAATAATATAATTTGTAACTGTACGTAATTTGTGTTACGGTGTTATATTACTATGGGAGGTCGAGTGGTCTAAACTGAGTCAATCCCAAGTCAGTGGACTCGCGTTCAATGTCCAGCAGAAGCAGCCACATCACCAGCACAACACCCCAGGCGGACGGGACTTAACCTCCGGTGACAATTCATCTAAGAGAAGGAAACCCTGAAATCAAACCCAGAAGTCGCATGCTGACACGAGGAACATTCCGACAACTCTGTGACATAGAACGCATAAAGAACACAGTGACACACACACATACACACACTCACACTGTTGGTCTAATACCGCACCCCGGTCTGTTTCCAATCGTCGTGGCTACGCTCATCTTGGCTAAGTCTTGCCATTGGATCAAATAGTCGAGGACGAGAGAGTGAGGCTGTCGAATGGAGCAACTCTCCCTCGCTGTGCTGCCCCGCCCAGCGGTGTGCTGCCACGCCCAGCGGTGTGCTGCCACGCCCAGCGGTGTGCTGGCACGCCCAGTGGTGTGCTGCCACGCCCAGTGTTGTGCTGCCACGCCCACCGGTGTGCTGCCACGCCCACCGGTGTGCTGCCACGCCCAGCGTTGTGTCGCCACGCCCAGCGTTGCGCTGCCAATCAAGCAACAACGTTTTTTGGTACTTCTCGGTTATATAATCAAATATCAATGTATTTTTTTTAAAAATCCCTAATTATAGCCTACGAACAATGTTCCCTTTAAGCTGCGCGGCTGCACGGCCGCACAGCTATCTCACAGATGCCGCGCAGCAACTTTGAGTGTTGGCGCAGCGAATTTCCATTTAACTGTGTGTTTGTGGGCTGTAAAACTTTGCAAACACAATAATTGATGCTGTAAAACTTTGCAAACACAATAATTGATGCTGTAAAACTTTGCAAACACAATAATTGATGCTGTAAAACTTTGCAAACACAATAATTGATGCTGTAAAACTTTGCAAACACAATAATTGATGCTGTAAAACTTTGCAAACACAATAATTGATGCTGTAAAACTTTGCAAACACAATAATTGATGCTGTAAAACTTTGCAAACACAATAATTGATGCTGTAAAACTTTGCAAACACAATAATTGATGCTGTAAAACTTTGCACACAACTGTATTTTGCACACGAACCAGCAAACCTTAGAGGGAACATTGCCTACGAAAACCATTTGCGATTCCCTAGCTAACAACTAGGTCAACACTAGCTGTCATAATTTGAGAACCTCCGAGGTAGCACTCTTACTATAAGACAGCACCGCACCGCTCTCCCCCCTACCACCCCCTTGCCTTGGACAACATTAAACAGAATGAAGGCCACGCATTCACTTGCAACGTTGTCATTTTTGGGATTCAGTGGATTCGCCTAGTTTTGGTGGATATCTCTTAATTGATATGTTGCATGTGTGTAACGGGGAATTATGGTGAGTGATCAATTCACAGTAGAATGAGTAAAGTTATTGGTTCTTTCATTTGTTATTCGTTCAGATGGCATCGGGTCTCCTAAGGTCAAATCCTGTCGTTTTGATAGTTCATGGCTACAGGCACAGGCTACCTGTGACATATTTAGGATCTTGGATTCCTGACAAATGCGTTGGGATTTTCAATAAGACAACCCAGGTATGTTATCTCAACAACCTAGGTATGTTATCTCAACAACCTAGGTATGTTATCTCAACAACCTAGGTATGTTAATCTCAAAAACCTAGGTATGTTACATCAACAACCTAGGTATGTTACATCAACAACCCAGGTATGTTATATCAACAACCCGGGTATGTTATCTCAAAAACCGAGGTATGTTATCTCAACAACCTACAACCCGAGTATGTTACATCAACAACCCAGGTATGTTATATCAACAACCCGGGTATGTTATCTCAAAAACCGAGGTATGTTATCTCAACAACCTACAACCCGAGTATGTTACATCAACAACCCAGGTATGTTATATCAACAAACCAGGTATGTTATATAAAAAACCAGGTATAATATATCATCAAACCAGGTATAATATATCATCAAACCAGGTATAATATATCATCAAACCAGGTATAATATATCATCAAACCAGGTATAATATATCATCAAACCATGTATAATATATCATCAAACCAGGTATAATATATCATCAAACCAGGTATAATATATCATCAAACCAGGTATAATATATCATCAAACCAGGTATAATATATCATCAAACCAGGTATAATATATCATCAAACCAGGTATAATATATCATCAAACCAGGTATAATATATCATCAAACCAGGTATAATATATCATCAAACCAGGTATAATATATCATCAAACCAGGTATAATATATCATCAAACCAGGTATAATATATCATCAAACCAGGTATAATATATCATCAAACCAGGTATAATATATCATCAAACCAGGTATATTATATCATCAAACCAGGTATATTATAATTTAAAAAACCAAGTATGTTATTTCAACCATAACATTTTAGATCTGAAAATATTCATAAGACAGGGAAAAAAGGAAACTCTCAACCACAGGTTCCCAAATGTTTGTTTTTTTAAGATCATGCCCACATTAAATAAAAGCAAAGTGACCCGCGACCTCAAGCATAAAAAAAGGTTTTTAGTAATAGGTTGCAAAGTGAACACATCGAATTGGAGGTTTCATCAAAAGAGAACATTCTCTAAGTAACAATCAACAGTAATAGGGTGCAAAGTGAACACATCAAATTGGAGGTTTCATCAAAAGAGAACATTCTCTAAGTAACAATCAACTAGTGTCACTAGCGCTACCAGATGTTCAATAGTGCGCACTATAGGACACACTCATTGTTTCACTTTATAACAGATTCATTGTTTCACTATATAACAGACTCATTGCCTCACTATATGACAGACTTATTGTTTCATTATATGACAGACTCATCGTTTCATTATATGACAGACTCATCGTTTCACTATATGACAGACTCATTGTTTCACTATATGACAGATTGGTCGTTTCACTATATGACAGACTCATTGTTTCACTTTATAACAGATTCATTGTTTCACTATATAACAGACTCATTGCCTCACTATATGACAGACTTATTGTTTCATTATATGACAGACTCATTGTTTCACTATATAACAGACTGATTGCCTCACTATATGACAGACTCATTATTTCACTATATGACAGATTGGTCGTTTCACTATATGACAGACTCATTGTTTCACTATATGATAGACTCATTGTTTCACTATATGACAGACTGATCGTTTCACTATATGACAGACTCATTGTTTCACTATATGACAGATTGGTCGTTTCACTATATGACAGACTCATTTGTTCATTATATGACAGACTGATCGTTTCACTATATGACAGACTCATTGTTTCACTATATGACAGATTGGTCGTTTCACTATATGACAGACTCATTGTTTCACTATATGACAGACTGATCGTTTCACTATATGACAGACTCATTGTTTCACTATATGACAGATTGGTCGTTTCACTATATGACAGCCTCTTTGTTTCACTATATGACAGACTCATTGTTTCACTATATGACAGACCCTTTGCTTCGCCACATGACAGCTTGCTGTTCGATGGCCTCTGATGAAATACTACTTGATAAATAATGATGGTGATACTACCGTGGAATAACCCATTGTTAAGCACTTCGTGGTACACAATCTTGACTTTAGTTTAACAACTTAGATTGTGTAATGGGTACATAATCTTATCACAAAGACATCAGTAAGTCTTTTCAGCAAAGGTTAAAAATAGTAATTATAAAATAATAATAATAATAATAATAAAAAATGCTCCCATCGATCAATGAGATAATTGAGCCAATCAAACAAGTTGGTGATCAACATGCATTAGGCCTAGAGCAAACCTAACATTAAAAACGATGAAGTGCGCAAAATCTTGTTCAAACCACAATCGAAGTCAAGAGTTTTAGCTTCATTATAACATTACATTATCAAATTAATTATTAGATTTCCAGCTGTTGTGTTTTATTCGTGTAAATAAAATGAATGTGTCTCTGTATGTGTGTACATTGAAACCATTATCTTGTCATCCGCATATGTCCCCAGATGTGACGTCACCGCCTACAGAATTAAAATACCGTCATTTTAGAATCTCACGAGACACAGAACGAGATGTTACCACACAATTGCCTTTACAGGACAAAATATACATAATCAAAGTATCAGCACTCAGAGCAGAACTAGCACATGGATTGGCTTGCAAAATTAGCACATGGATTAACACTCAGAAGCAACAGCATGAAGTCGAAATCATGATTTGATCTGATTCTGGTTGACACAATCACATTCACTAACCAGAGCTGCCGAATGCATAGTTAGATAGATTATGATTAAGTAACTAATTATTTAAGTTAGATGGACCCCAATCAATAAGTTATAAGTATCACTTTATCTGGAAGTCGAATGACTTAATTTTAATATGTTTGTGAAATACACAAAAGATTACTATTCTTATATTTATATTAATAAAATGCGAAACACCAGCGAACCTTCAGCTCCGACGCAGTGCAGCACACACAGGTGGCCATTCGCTAGTCTAATGTAAGTAAACACCGGCAGACGTCACACCCTGACGTCATGTCGACTAAGAAATCGGTGAAAACAAAGACTGGCATCCACCAGTTTCTAGTCGCCACAAGTTCAACTCAGGACTCAAATGCTGCGTCGCTGTCCGCGACTGGTGATGCGCAAACTGAGAATGAACGGGAAACACCGTTCACAGAGTACCGGCTGTACGTCATCAACCGTGCGGGGACCGGCGAGGCGAGTTATCTGCTGATGAAAGAGAACTTCTCGACCATTCTGTCGTATCGTGTGCACACGGAGACATGGAGGCAAACCGAAGGCCTGCAGGATTTTGGTGTCCTCGTTCTTGGGAAATGGATTTATGTCTTGGGAGGATATCACAAAGTGCAAGGTGTTTGCCTGGACCGAGTTATGAGGTAGGTAGATCAGATATGCAAGGCAGGTGGTCAGGGGTTGCAGGTATGCAAGGTAGGTGGTCAGGGCCCGGGTCACGGGTGTAGCATAATGCAAGGTAGGTGGTCAGGGGTTGCAGGTATGCAAGATAGGTGGATAGGGCTGTAGTATGCAAGGTAGGTGGACAGGGGTACAGCTTTCAAGGTTAGGTGGTCAGCGAGCGCATTTTTAGTTAGCACAATGTTTTATATGATCCTGACAATGACACCACATATAGCATTACTTTATTACCACACCCCCCCCCCCCCCCTCCTTTCCACCACTATAATTTTGTTACCCTGAAATGTTCATTTTTAGATAGCAGCTGTGCTTTTATCTCACAATAATTCTGATCAACCATTCACTGTGTACAAGGTATGAACCTCGAGCTGACCAGTGGTCAGAATGCAGGAACATGTTGGTGGCCAGGTGCAAGTTTGGAGTCAGTGTCTTGGCAAAGAAGATTTTTGTATGTGGTAAGTGAATTTGATTAAGCTGTTTGGGGACCACTGGAACTCTTGTGATTAATGAGGTCAACATTCCAAAATAGAGGACATACATTTTTGTTATTACAATTGCATCTTCTGGACCGAAAAAAACAATGCAGCCCCCCCCCCCTCCCTTTTACCAAACAAGACAGTACACAGAAAGAACACTATTTGAANCTCTTGTGATTAATGAGGTCAACATTCCAAAATAGAGGACATACATTTTTTTTATTACAATTGCCTCTTCTGGACCGAAAAAAACAATGCCGCCCCCCCCCCCCTCCCTTTTACCAAACAAGACAGTACACAGAAAGAACACTATTTGAAGACCAGTGGTCTCACCAGGGTTGGTGTAACCAAGGGGAGTAAACTAACGGTGACACATTCTCCAAACTCCTTTATTGACCTCCTCCGAGTCTACCTGCTCTGGTGGCACCCTGCTCTGGTGGCACCCTGCTCTCGTGCCACCTTGCTCTGGTGGCACCCTGCTCTGATGGCACCCTCCTCTCGTGGCACCCTGCTCTGATGGCACCCTGCTCTGATGGCACCCTGCTCTGGTGGCACCCTCCTCTGGTGGCACCCTGCTCTTTTATTTAACTTAGATCTCTTAAAAACCTGACAGGAGCGAGCTCTATTAAATCTTCAATTTGCTGCCACCCCAGGGGAGGGTGTCACCTGGTGCGATCTACACCCCCCTTTGATGCCAATGTTTAAAGAAGAGAAAAGTTCTTTTTGTTTATTTGTGTGTGTGTCATATTTTGTTTTCTTGTTTCAGGGGGTCAGCGAAGTGATGGCAAACAAACAGGAAGCTGTGAGATGTACGACCCTGAGACAGACATCTGGACCAAGTGTGGTATGTTGGTGGCGCCGCGTTCGGACACTGTGTGTGCCGCGTATGGCCAGGAAGTCCTGTGCGCCGGGGGTTTTCACAATGGCAAAGTTCACAATAACCTTTGGTAGGTCAAGGTCAAGGTGAAAGTCTATTTTAAAAATTCTGTGTCATTCAGACAGGGGATATCTGGTGGTTACAAGTGAAGCACTAAGTACTTCTAAGCATAAGGGTATTGGCTACCGGTCTACATTAACAAATATCTTGATGGTAAATTAAAACAGGTGTTAATAATAAGTGATACCATCTGGTGCATATTTAAAGTAGGCCAGAGTTGTGAGTTTTAAAAAATTTTGTGCAATATATTTAAAATTAGTACAGCGGATGTACATGTCATGACATGGATCACTTGATGTACATGACATGTAAGGACATTGGTGGCATGATGTACAACAGTACATGACCTTTAATGACCATTGCTCACCCTGCCACTCATGTCAACTGCATTCCTACAGGGTGTACGAGCAACACACATGGCAAGAGTTGGACAGGCATTACCCCCACATGTTACCATACAGCCTACAGAAATGTGCAGTTGCTGCAGTCAAAAATACCTTATATTTTATTGGTGGTGAGTTGGGATGGCACTGATGCTACTTAACCTGGCAGACTCCATCACAAAACACTTTTCATTTAGACTCACTATTTCATTAGGTTCATAAAATGTGTGCTGTGAAACATCACTAAATGGGATAATGGTGGGGGTGGGGGGAGGGGTGTGTGTCCATAAAACTAGATTGCTCTAAAGAGAGGTTACATTAATGCCGGGTCTTACAATATCCCAATCCAAAAATAGCAATTTTTGTATCTTGTGCAGTGAGATAACTTTTTTTTATAACTTGACTAGTTTTTGTTGAACTAGTTTTTTTTTGGACTAGTTTTTGTTGGACTAGCTTTTTTGGACTAGTTTTTGTTGGACTAGCTTTTGTTGGACTAGCTTTTGTTGGACTAGTTTTTGTTGGACTAGCTTTTGTTGGACTAGCTTTTTTGTACTAATTTTTGTTGGACTAATTTTTGTTGGACTAGTTTTTGTTGGACTAGCTTTTTTGGACTAGTTTTTTTTTTTTTACTTGTTTTTTTTTTTGGATTTTTTTTTACAAGCATTTTCATTTTGCATAATTTTTATTTTTTTTGTTTTTGTTTTTTTGTTTTTTTTTTTTTTGTTTTTTTTTTTTTTGGTTTTGTTTTTGTTGGTTTAGTTTTTTTGGACTAGTTTTTTTTTTTACTAGTTTTTTTTTTTGGATTGTGTTTTACAAGCATATACATTTTGCATACTTTTTCCCCCACAAAATTGTGAATGAATTTATTTAATTTTGTGATCCATGACAACCATATTTATCCAACTTTGTGCTATGTGGGGATGTGTTACAACAGGGTTCCACTGTATGTTGTACAATGTCATAAAATTCATATATTATATAACACTAAACCTACAAAACGTGTATGTTGCACATATTTTCCAGGATCGTCCAGTAAAGAGCAACAGGTTGAGGAAGGCTCAGGTGAGAAGGTTTCCGTGACGATGTTACGGACGGAGAGGAGGATGTTCTCTTACACAACACAGATATCTGCAGGGGATGGACACAGCAAAGGGGCACAACTAGACTTGATATCACCATGGAACTTAAAGTTGCCTCCCATGATTCATGCCAGGCAGAATGCAGGAGCAGTAACTATAGGTAATATTGGTGTGGCGTGTGTGGGTCATCCGGCAGAATGCAGGGGCAGTAACTATAGCTAACATTGGTGTGGAGTGTATGAGTAATTTTTGTGATGGGGTGAGTAACATTAGTGTGATATGTATATAGGAACTGACTAACCTGATTGGATCTATTAACATGATTGAATCTATCAACATGATTGAATATATTGGTATACTTTGAAGGGATTACACCATTATACTTTGAAGGTTACAATGGTATAGCAGTAAGCCTACATCCGGGGGTAACCCCCCAAAAAATAAAAAAAATAAAAATGGAGTGAAGTGATATGGTGAGATGTATTAGTGAAACAACAGAGGAACATGATTTGATCAACCCCCCCCCCCCCTCTTTTTTTTTTTTTTTTTACCCATGCAGGTCAAAAGATCCATGTCGTGGGAGGTACATCTGTAGAGACAGGAGATCCTGTCATCAAGTCTGAACATTTTGACCTGGTCAGAGGAACCTGGCATGAAGATTTTGTCCTCAAAAACTGTAAGTGTTGAGCAAATAACTAGGTCATGGGCATCTGATTTTCAGGTGTTCATTTGATGGCTCCAAATATCTAAAACCAAATCTTACTTTTCTATCTGGTTTTCTCAAGGTGTTGTTGTATAACAATTTATAAGATATTGTTGTACATTTCCATATAACAATTTATAAGATATTGTACATTTCCATATAACAATTTATAAGATATTGTTGTACATTTCCATATAACAATTTATAAGATATTGTTGTACATTTCCATACAACAATTTATGTGGTTATACTTATAGTACTTATTGATAAAAAAATGTTAAATAAAATTATCAGTTGTATGAAGTATCATAATTTTGGAATGTTCATGTGACCTAACATATCATTAGATAATTTAAATTTATTATTAAACTTTGCATCCAGGTGATGTATCCAATGTCAGCTGTCTGTTGGTGGAGGTGCCCAAAATTCCATTTAAAGACAGGCGGATTATGCAGAGGCTGAAGTGGGTCATGTGGTGAGATGGATAATGTATAGCCATGGAAATGAATAGAAATTGTAGGACACAAATACAATCTTTTATTTTGTGAGTGATATGGTTAACACATTTTGTGAGTGATATGGTTAACACATTTTGTGAGTGATGTGGATAACATCTTTTGTGTGATGTGGATAAAATTAAGTATAAAATAACATAAAATTCTGCTTGTGTGACATGGATATTTGCATGGCTTGGAAAATATTTGAATGTTATTTTAATGGATAAGACATTTTTGTGTCATGTGGATAAATTTTTCATGATAAGATAATAAGAGTTTAATTTTAGAACATCGGCTGTGTACTGGAGACAAAATCTCCTTGTGCTACTGTGTATGGACCTTGTGTTACTGTGTCTGGACCTTGTATTAATGTGTCTGGACCTTTTGTTACTGTGTCAGGACCTTGTGTTACTGTGTCTGGACCTTGTGTTATTGCGTCTGGACCTTGTGGTACTGTGTCTTGGCCTTGTGCTGTGTCTGGACCTTGTGTTACTGTGTCTGGACCTTGTGCTACTTTGTCTGGACCTTGTGTTACTGTGTCTGGACCTTGTGCTACTGTGTCTGGACCTTGTGCTTCTGTGTCTGGACCTTTTGTTACTGTGTATGGACCTTTTGTTACTGTATCTGGACCTTGTGCTAGTGTCTGGACCTTGTGTTACTGTGTCTGGACCTTGTGTTACTGTGTCTGGACCTTGTGTTACTGTGTCTTGACCTTGGGTTACTGTGCCTGGACCTTGGGTTACTGTGCCTGGATGAAGTATGAAATCTCTTGATCAATTGAACCGTCTTACGTGGAGATATTTCCTAGCATAAATGAGATCATATAAACTTATGGGAAATGTGACGCCATTATCTGTGTCAGGTTTAGTCAGCAGTTGTTATCGAAGGTAATGTACAACTATTCAACAAATTACCCAGACTGCAAGTTAATTTCTGTATGGTTGCGGACATATTTATGTTCCGTGTGACAGTCATTCAGTCGACCACCTCATTTATGTAGATTGAGAGTTGAATGTAAATGTGCACCATTTGGCGTGTTGTCAAAGTATGTGACAGTAATAAACTTAATAACTAATTAGTCTCATTTGAAGCTTTGTCATAGCCATGTGACAGTAATAAACCTAATAACTAATTAGTCTCATTTGAACCTTTGTCATTGCCATGTGAGTGTAGTCAAGTTGTTAACTTTTGCCTGCAGGCCCATTATCATACAGAGATACATATAGCAAATAAGTAAATTTTTCACGATTGGTGAAGGTGGGGGATGGGGGTGCTTGGGCTATGTTTTTATCATAAGGAAAGCATTTGAGTACCAAGTAGAAGCAAGCATCATCAGAGTACCAAGTAGAAGCAAGCATCATCAGAGTACCAAGTAGAAGCTAGCATCATCAGAGTACCAAGTAGAAGCAAGCATCATCAGAGTACCAAGTAGAAACAGTTTATGGAGCAATAGATTTTGTCCTTAAAATAGAGTAAAGAAACCAGGTTGTATCATTTCTTGTTTATTTCATCATGTATTTAAAAACATCCCTCAGTTTGATAGAACAGAGAAAATACTTCAATCTTGGCTGACATCATCTGTTATTACACCACACACAAAAACAAATCAAAACACTGGATGAACAAAAAAGAAGGCAATCAATGCATTATGTCCTCTTCTAGATAAAAATGTTCAGCATAAAAAACAAAGACAAGCATTCAAGGTACCGGTAATCATTGAATTAAAGCATATTTGGTCCCTAAATATATGAGAAAATTGAGTCATTACTGATTTTATGTTCAACCCAATCCCCTATTATTTTTTCATGATATTATATAACCCAAATTTATGAGAAAAAAAACCCAATACTGCAATGGTATTAAACATTGCATGGATTACTGCCCTCTGTAATCCGGCCACTGGATTACTTCCCTTGGTTCATAAAGACTCTTGAAGTTGAAGGAAAAAACATAATTTTAAATACTAGTACTTAGCTTATTCCTCACACCAAAATGTATTGAGTGATCTGCCCTTTTCATTGAGCCGTAATGTCACTCGGCGTACAAATCAGGTTCCTTGTACTAAACAGTAAAAAAAAAATCATAACTCTAATGACGGACGATGACACAAAACCTTGATATAAATATTGGGTTGCAATGGCAACACATACATGTGGCAGTGTTTGTTACAATAAAAAATAACTACACTGCCTAAGCAAAAAAAGAAATTGGAGATTAATTAAAAAAAAAATTAAACTTAATCAAATGTCACACGAATTTCATTTTAAATAAATTTCAAAATTTTGTTGATCATACAGCAAATAAGGGATTTCTTTTTTTCCAAAGGTTTACTGTTAAAATGAAACAAATCTTTTTAGCAATCACGATCCACTCTTTTATTTTCATCAATAAAATTGTTGATGTAGCTTGATTTATATAGACTAAAATGGCATCATAAGCAGTTGAGCAGAAAATAGAGAATCAATTATCGATACAAAATGAATGATAAAATCTTTGACATTATGTATGAGCAAACGTGCTCAGTGCCCACCTTAAAGGTTTATATATAACATTTATTTTAAACAACTCTTGCATCAACACTCAGGGCAGCCACACAGCACTTACACCAGCCACACGGCACTTACACCAGCCACACAGCACTTACACCAGCCACACAGCACTTACACCAGCCACACAGCACTTACACCAGCCACACAGCACTTACACCAGCCACACAGCACTTAAAGCTGCCACACTGCACTTATACTAGCCCCACAGAACTTATACCAGTCACATGGCACTTATCAAAGTCATAAGCAATTACCACAGTTATACACGAATTATAATCAGCCACACATAACTTATCACAGCCATTTTATTGACTTGTAATTATGCAGCCTCCACTTGAACTAGAGCATTGTCTGTTTTTATGTTAAATATATGAGATTTCTTCCACAAACTCCACTAGTACTACATCCAGTATCACGAGACAAGCCCTCACTTGGAACCCCCAGGGCAAGAGAAAAATGACCCGGAAAAGGGAACTAGGGGCAGACACCAAAAAAAGTGGACACAACTGGGGACAGCTTGGAGAGACTGGCCCAAGACCGGGATGCCTGGAGAGCCTTTGTTTGTGGCCTATGCCCCAGACGGGACAACAGGCGATGATGATGATGATGACTCAGATTAAATAGACCTGAACATTGACCCCTACATCCTGATGGCATCAAATTAATGACTACAGAGGGAGAAAAACTGATTCCCTTCAAAAACCAGAAATTAACCGGTCAGTTTTATCTGAACTGTCTGCACTGAAATACACACATGGCAACTTGTTTGAGACACAGCTCAGAGTCAAAGATAAATAAAGCATACGATTAAACAACCCCTAAAAACAACATTTTTCGCATAATCCTTTATAAAATGTAATATTGAGCAATGAGAGGGGAGGGGGGGGAGGGGGCTAAAAATTTGACAAAAAATCCGTACAAGTACAGCACTTCATAAGAATCTCAAATAGTGACGACCCCCCCCACCCCCCAAAAGGCTCTCATGGTATATTTTGTTCATGCCCCTGAACTATTTTACTATTCTAAAGGCACACACGCTTTTCAACAAATATTTCAGAAAAACTAAAGAAAATATTACACACCAAACGCATTTGCAATATAAAATTGTTAAAAATTTCATCTAACGCAGTTGTCAGGAATTTTTTTTGTGAAATCAGTGTTTCTACATATTGCCCCTGAAAAGTGATTTTTGGGGGATTGGGGTTGAAAATTTGAAGGAATGTGTTGTCATCTGCAACGAGTCTATGTGCCAAGTTTGAGCTCGATAGGTTGATGGGAAGTGGGTCAAAAAGCCGTCTGAATGGATTTGCCAGCCAAGAACAAAAGCAAAGTTAATATAAAGGATTAAAAAAAAAAAACACCCCCCCTCTTTATAATGATGAAACTGATGATGAAGCAAAGCCGACAACTGGTCACAACATTTCAACAGGTCACTGATACAACACTATATTTGTCTGGTTGTGTCAACAGGTCACTGACTGGCACAACAGCTGCCCGCTGGTACACAGCACAGTATGCAGAGCTTGCGGTGGTTGAGTAGGAAAATGAGAAATCCCCAGTCTTATTTGGTTGAACAGCAGATGATTCAAGTCAAAGGGAGGCCGCCGATGGGAAGCCTTCCACAGATTAACTTGATCCAGAGTAGTGTACCACCACAACAACTGACAGAGATGAAAAAAAATATATTTTTATCAGTAATTACCTGGTATCTCCTGTAATAATATTTCCCGGGAAAGGAATAAAAGATATGGGCATAGTTACTACAGTTACAAATATTCAAATCCACTATTTCATACAGGATGACCAATGTTCATATGTTAAGTTGCCTTAACAAACAGTCACAAATTTATGGTTTCCTCAGATCAATAAAAACACTCACTGATTATTACTGTGATGATGGCAACAATCACACCCCCGAGTATCAGACGCATCTGGAACAAAACAAACATTCCAACTGTAGTAAAACATACCAATTGTAGTAAAACATTCCAACTGTGCTAAAATTGCCCATAGAAACACTTAAAGTACGGGTATATAAACCGGGCAAAAGTAATAATTTTATCAGTTTTTTTATCAAATAATTTTTTTAAGACTCAAACGAAAATTGAGTATCTTGCACTCACCCGACAATTCTTCCACCACATGTTTTTGTGCAGACTTTTGGCCCTAGTTCTGAACATGTCTGAATGACTTGATAAACTCTCTGAAAACAAAGGCATTGACGATAAACACAAAAAGATGAATTCGTTAAGTCTTGAACTTGTATTCATTCAAAAAGAAAATACATTTTTAAATCAAATACGAACAAACTGGAGGGCAGGCAAAGGTGTAGCCTCACAAGATTATGTGAGGGCTTCCAGCGGATTTAGATTTGGTGAGGCCTAAGCTATTGAAAATTTTGAGGACCTTTATCCTAGTGTAGATTACCAGACCTGGCCTATTGTACCTGACCTAGTGTAGACTACCAGACCTGGTCTATAGTAATTGACAGCGTAGAGTACATGGCCTAATGTAAAGTACCTGATCTATGTGTACCTGTCCTAATCTCTAGTGCATTACTTTATGTAAGTTACCTGACCTAGTGTTGAGTACCTGTCCTAATCTCTAGTGCATGACTTTATGTAAGGTACCTGACCTAGTGTTGAGTACCTGACTTATCCTGAAGATCCTCTAGCCTATCCCCCCTCTCTATGACTTTGTTGACATTTGACTTCATGATGTCCACTACTTCATCTACTTGACCTTGTAGCCTGAGGAAAACAAGAACTCATCAAATCGATAATTCAACCTTGAAATCTATACCAGTAAACAAAGTGAAGATTATGATATTATTTCTACAGAACTCAAGTGCTCAAATGTAGTTCATTAATGAAAGCAGAAGACAATTCAACAAACATTGCACAACTGCTACTAGAAAAAATGGAAGGAGAAATATCAAAGGTAAAAACAATGTGATACACAGATATTAACAGACGATGTTAGAAAACAACGTGATATACTTACTTATTCATTTTTGGATCTGATCGAAGTTTGTCAGTGTTAACTTTTGGGCCCCTGAAAAATGTTTGGTTGATAATGTTAATAAATGTTATTTACAGAAAAGGGCCATGCATAATTATATTGCATACACACACTATCCATCTATAACATACACATACTATCCATACATAAAAAATAAGCACCCTTCTATATATTGCATACTAATATTCTTAACGACTCCATGGAACACACATAGGAAAGAGTTCCTTTATTTATTAATGTAAAAAGATTCACCCATTTGATTCATCGACTTACTTCAAGAAAAAATCTTCATCGTCAGAGTTACCATCAAGTAATCCTCTCTGCAACAAAAAAACAATTAAAAGACAATAAGGAATTATTATTTTTTTTTAAATTATAAATTCTAGACAAATATGTTTCATTATAATTGTTACAACTTTTTAACTTGATGAATGGAAAAAATAGTTTTTAATCCTTTGTGATGTAAGAGTGGGTGACAGGCACTGGGAAGAGTATGCCTGGCAAGATTTAAAAACAGCACTATACGATTTTTTATGGGCGTACAAAAATAACATTTCCAGTACGCAGATAATAAGTAGTTGCATTCAATTTTTCCTATATCAATGATCAATAGTAATAAAATATTTCATTTCCTTGGAAAGCAA